TAACACTTCAGGAATAACAAATAATAATAAAGTTCAATTGGGGCTATATATAGTCCCTTTCAACTATAAACATTCTGGGCTTTTATCTTAATAGGAATTACATAGGAATGAATAAGAGCTACAGCTCAGTTGATACAGAGAAAAATAAAAGCAGACCAGGCACGGTGGCTCACGCCTGTAATCCTAGCACTCCGGGAGGCTGGGGTGGGAGGATTGCTTGAGCTCAAGAGTTTGAGACCAGCAAGAGCAAGAGCAAGACCCCGTCTCTACCAAAAATAGAAAAAATTAGCCAGGCACGATGGCGTGCACCTGTAGTCCCAGCTACTCGGGAGGCTGAGGCAGGAGGATACCTTGAGCCCAGGAGTTGGAGGTTGCAGTGAGCTATGATCACACCATTGCACTCTACCTGGGGCAACAGAGTGAGAGTCTCAAAAAAAAAAAAAAAAAAAAGATTTGCTTTCATTACAATGAATCTTTACAATTAAAAAATAATATCCACCAATGTGCTTTAATATCAATGCCAGAAAACGGAAACTGGTTTTCTTTTTAGTGATTTTCATAGCCATGGATGAAGAACCTAACAGCACTTTATTAAATCTAAATGTCATATGACACTATTAATATTAATAATGTATTTAAGAGTCAGAGTTTGAAAATTTATTTCATTGTGAATATAGTAATTGGGACCATAATCTGATTTGTTTTCTAGTTTGAAGTATAGAAAGTAAAATGTACAATGTATGTCATCCATAGCAAAATATCCAATTATACCAATTAATATACAGAATTTTATATAAAATATTTTCATAAAGTTTTTTTGTATACTGCCAAAAAAAAAAAATACTCACAAGTTTGGTAATGGGATCTAACGCGATAATGCATCCCGGCCTGGCTGTCGATTGTTGACTGACGATGTTAAACACTTCACCAACATATTTCTGTTTTTTAAAAAATTGATATCTCCTTTACTAAACAAATTCAAAAGTGATTAAGAACAAAGAACATAACACTTCAGGAATAACAAATAATAATAAAGTTCAATTGGGGCTATATATAGTCCCTTTCAACTATAAACATTCTGGGCTTTTATCTTAATAGGAATTACATAGGAATGAATAAGAGCTACAGCTCAGTTGATACAGAGAAAAATAAAAGCAGACCAGGCACGGTGGCTCACGCCTGTAATCCTAGCACTCCGGGAGGCTGGGGTGGGAGGATTGCTTGAGCTCAAGAGTTTGAGACCAGCAAGACCCCGTCTCTATTAAAAACAGAAAAATTAGCCAGTGTTGTGGTATGTGCCTATAGTCCCAGCTACTTGGGAGGCTGAGACAGGAGGATCGCTTGAGCCCAGGAGTTTGAGGTTTCAGTGAGCTACGATGACGCTACTGCACTCTACCCAGGGAGACAAAGCAAGACTCTGTCTCAATAAAAAAAAAAAGAAAAAAAGAAAAGTAAAGTAAAAACAATGCTTGGTAACTGTTAGGGGAAAAAATATTTTATACCCAAAAATACAAAAAACTGACTTCGATTTCCTGGAAATGTTCTAACAAGTAGGGCTTTTGGGCCGGGAGCAGTGGCTCATGCCTATCTATAATCCTAGCACTCTGGGAGGCCGAGGCGGGAAGACTGCTTGAGGTCAGGAGTTCGAGACTAGCCTGAGCAAGAGAGAGACCCCATCTCCAAAGCAAAACAAAAAACAAAAAAAGAGAAGCAGTACTTTTTAAACATTGATTTTGAGAAGGGAAGGATGGAGTTAAAGAAACAAGTTGATATACGATTTATATATGCTGACTTTTAAGCTACTTATGTCCTGACTGCTCTGTCAAGGTCGCGCTGTTAAATTCAGTGATCAATTCTCCATCTTCATCATACTTGCTCTATCAGCAGCATTTGATATTGGTGACCACTCCCTTCTCCTTGAAATGCTTTCTTCATTTGACTTCCATCATATACCACATTGACCCTACTTTTAACAATGGAATGCTTCAGCATTCAACCTATCACTTTTATTTTCCCACTATACTCTCTTCCCTCAACAGTCACATCCATCTTCATAACTTTAAATATATATGCTGACAACTATTTTATATCTTCAGGCCAAACTTGCCTCTGAACTTCAGAGACTAGCCTACGTGGTCTCTCATAGGAGATGCTGGGGATGTCAAACAGGCATCTCAAAATTACATGTCCAAAGCCAGGCTCTTAAATCTCCCTGCCCGTCAAAATCTGCTACATCTTGGCTGGGCATGGTAGCTCATACCTATAATCCCAGAACACTGGGAGGCTAAAGTGGGAGGACTGCTTGAGGCCAGGAGTTCAAGACCACCTTGGGCAACATAGCAAGACCCTGTTTCTACAAAAAATAAAAAAATTAGCTCAGTGCATGCCTGTAATCCTGGCTACTCAGGAGGCTGAGGCAGAAGGCTGAGCCCAGGAGTTGGAGGCTGCAGTGAGCTATGATACCACCACTGCACTCCAGTCTGGGCAGCATAGGAAAGCCCTGTCTCCAAAAAAAACACAAAAAACCAAAAAAAACCCCCTGCTGCTTTTATATTTTTATCTCAATGCACAGCAATTCTATTTTTCCTAATGCTTAGCCAGAAACCTTGAGAATCATCCTCTTTTTACTCACACACATCCCATAGCCAGTCCAATATGGATTAATCAGTGTCCAAAACTCATTCAGAATTTGACCATTGTTATTATCTCTATCATTACCATTTTCTATCATTCTAAGCCCCTTTGCCTCTCCTGGACTACTGTGGTTGCTTTCTAAATTGGTCTCTCTGATTCCACTTCTCCTTCCCATGCCTAATCTATAGACCCACCAAAGTGATCCATTTAAAACCTAAATCATGTCATATAACACTATCCTTCTCTTCTATAGTTTTCATGTTATTCAGAGTAAAAGTCAAAGTTACCAAAATGGCTTATGAGGCCTTGTGTGATATGGCCAGGCTAACTTTCTGACTTCATCTCTGACTACTCTCCAATTCACATATTCTGCCCCAGCCACAATGGCCTGCAGCTATTCCTTTATATACCAAACATTCTCTGGCCTAAGGGTCTTTGAACTGACTGCCCCTCTTTCTGGATCACTCCTCCTTTAAATATCTACATATCTAGCTCCTGCATCTCTTTCAGGTCTTTGTGCAAATGACATTTTTTTCTGTGATGTTTTACCTGACTAGCACCTTACTTGGCAATCCCTACTTCTTTTGCAACATTGTCTTTCTCCACTGTATTAGTTCATATATTTATACCTATTTTCTCCCTATCTCCCTTCGCTGGAATATAAATTCTAGGATACAAATTGTTGTCTGTTTTGGGCATATCTAAATTCCTAGTACTTAAAACAATGCCTGATAAACAGAAGATCCTCAATAAATACATGTTTCTACTATAACATTATATATATATATAAAGTGTTTTGAAAAAATCTGTGGTCTGCAAAATCATGCATTAAAAATAACTTATAGAAAAAACAGGATTGGAGCAGACCACAGACATTTATGCAACTTTATAACCAAACCATTAACAAATATATTAATTGGTAGCTGGGGAGATGGCTGGAATCTCCTAAACAGGAAACTCAATACAGCTGAAGGCTGCCTCTGGGGACAATGCAGTTGATAGGTTGCTATTAGACTAGCACAGGAAGAAGTATAGCCTATCATAAGGCAAAAGCTTTGCAATAGTATTAAAAAGACTCCTGCCTGAATTGCAACCAAGCTGAGGGCTTTTTCCTTTTATGCTTAAGATTAAAATTCTACTCCTATTATTCTAGCTTCCCTTGCCTGGAAAAAAATTGCAGATGAACTAACATTACTTCCACATTATACTGTCAGTATTGCCCATTTATCTATGAGCAAAGAAGTGTTATAGAAACATACATTGTAGGAGACTAGGCTCTACTTTTTGAATGACTGAAAGAAATGGTTTCTTTTTAAAGGAGCTTAGAATCACTATAAAGGTATAAAACAAATGTGAAAAAAAAAAACAACAAAGTTACAAATGTTTATTACAAATTTATATGTCACAATTCTAGAACATGCCCAATAAGTATAGATAAAATAACTAAAAACATATTACATATTTAAACTATTTTAAAAGTCATTACTTACAGAAATTTCAGGGTTAGAAAGCTCAAATAAAAGTTTCTTGGCATCAATAACCGCTTCATATAATCTCAGATATTGTCCATCACTTGCTACAAAGCATGCACTAGGAGAGTTGCAGTAGGCACCTAGAAAGTATTTACATTTAAAATTTAACCCTTTAGTGATAATGTCAGAAAATCTAAATCACTGAAATAAAAATCAACATGCTTACCTAGACAGTAACTGGGTATAAGAGTAGGCAGCCATGCCACATTGGAAAAGGCAGAAACATGCAGAGAATTAATCCGAGCAAGCTCAGAAACTCCTCCAGAGAAAGATAATGGTCCAACTGGATCAACCCTCCAAAGAATAAGCTCACTATAAACTGCATTGGGATCCTGAAATGCCATATCAACGGTGCTTGTAGTTTGTTGTGTCAAAGAACATTCTTCAACATTTACCGCATCAAAAGGCTGCTTTTGGTTATCAACATCTGGTGTCCTTAATGCATTATGGTGTGACGTTGTCAGCAATAATGGTAATACTGAGTGGCAAGCTAAATCATTAAGATGAAAGCGATGACCACAATATCTGGATTTGTGGGAAATACTGAGAACCGTAGAAAAAGCAGATTCCTCAGCAAAACTGACCAGCCACTGATTCAAAGAACCATCAGCGTGCTTTGAAATCATCATCACGTTAGGGGTAAAAATACTTAATTTTAAACTATTAGATGATTTATTGTGACCAGAAGAGATAAGCATTGATGTGGAACGAGCGAGGCCAGAAGGTTTCTGTTTCCCTTGCTGAATAGCCAGGTCAACATTCTTGGTACAGGCATACATCACTATGCTTTTACACAGAGAGTTCGCATCACCTGTGGGGAAAGCTACAGGAATTCTGGAAACAAAGGACACCTAGAATTAAGAGAGCAAGCATTAGAACATATGAAATTATATAAAGAGGTATTACAAAATTGTACCCACATAAACAAGAAATAGCCGTCCAGAGATCATAATAGTATTACCTGTACTTGACGAAACATACCAGGCTGGTATTCATCTAGCCAATCCACATGCCAAACCAGCAAAGAACCATCCACAGGATGAATACTGAATAACATGTCTGCATTTTTACTCCATTCAGACAGAAGTACTTCAATCTGATGATCAATGGCAGCTGATGGTAATGATGCAAAACTTGAGTTTGGTACTATTTTATCACCACCCAATTCCTTCTTTTCATGATTTATTTTCAGATCATCAACACCATCATCCATTTCTATAACCAAAAGAGTTCATGAACCAAGTTAATACAGTAAGGCTATTACCATAAATTTAAAAATACCTTTATAAATGCATTCAAGATGAAAAACATAGCTCGCTCTCTCCTCTGCCCCTCCTCCCTCATCCCGCCCCCTAAAAAAGATGAAAAACATAACAGTTTTATATTAACAAGAAATGAGTTTCTTTTAAAAGTAACTTTGCTCCAGTCATATAAGGTCACTAGAATTAACTCAGTAACCAGAAGCCCTACAGGACTGAGACAAGGGATTACCGGTAAAAGAACTAATATTGAACTGGAAAACAGGTAAAATGATTTCTAAACCTAGATATCCTACAATTAACCACCAGCTAACCTTCAGTAAGACACACTACTTATCTAGACCTCAGTTTTGCTCATGATAATTGGGGCTATAATTCTGGGATTGAATTTTTAAAATATATTATTTGAATGTAATTTGTACTTTCTTCACAATACCAGTTTTATCCAAACCTGCATATGGTACACTAGTTATCCTCTACGTACATTCACTTATAACTGATATTACATCTTAAAGAAACCATTTTAAGAGAATGTACTTACGCTGCTCAATTTCCAGGTTACACTACAACACACTGGTAATTAAAAATAAATTTGTATACCAACTTATTAACACAAGTAAATGTGTATATTCTCACCTCTTTCAAAAACCCCAGTCCTCACATCCTCCCCCCAACTCCTGGTTAGGAATATAGAGCTTTTCCTAAAAGAGACCTTAAAAAAAAAGTTATGACTGTTACCAGGTTAAAAAAATAAGTCAAGACATACAGATCAATAAGAAAACAAAAAATGCCCAACAGGAAATTAGGCAAAGGGGATAAAAAGATAAGCCACAGAAAGGCAAAAATAGAAAAGATCATCATTCTGTTTAATTTGCATTCAGAAAATGCAAAGTAAAACAAGAAGTCACTTTCCTCGTATTAACTGGCAAAGAAAGTAATCTAATGAAAAGATTCAGTGTTGGCAAGGATGGAGAAAAACGTTTTGGATATACTTAGAAGTATAAACTAGTAAAACATTTCTGGAGGGCAATTTGTCAGAAGTTATTGTTATTTAAATTTTGTATACTCTCTGGTAATTCCACATTTAGGAATCTATGTTACAGAAAAATTCACACAAAGACGAAAAGATGTGTCATTGTACCATTATTAGCATACATAGTGAAAAACAATTTAAATCAATTTAAACATCTGTTAGAAGAACTATTAAAAGTTTTCTCTTAGACATGGACTACTCAGCAGGTATTAAAAATGAGATGAAAGGCTGCCATTACTGACTGAATTACAACAAATTGTGGAACATTATTTTTGTTTAAAAATGAACACCCATAACACCTTTTTCTTTAAAATAAAAACTGTATTTATGTTTGTATGCACATAGAAAAAAATCAGTCTAAAGGGATACTCATCAAACTTAACAACATGGAAACTTTATACTTGTCTGCACTGGGTTTTTTCTCCCCTAATGATCATGTATGATCTTGTAATTAAAACTAAACTTTTTAAAAACAAACACATTTATGAACCACAGACTGTAGCAGATGGCTAACTGCCAGACACAGTTTCATACTCCCCGGTCCTTAGTGTATCAAGGCTAACCAGTCAGGAACTACATAGGGCCCTGTGCTAGCTCTTGGCAACAGAACGAGAGTGGAAGTGATATGCATCAATTCTGAGTCAAGGCAGTTGAGAAGCAGCTATACTTTCTCCTCTCCTTCTCTCTACACCAACTGAAGGCTGAATGCAGAAGAGTTTAAGGCCCTAAGTACAATGCTTCTCACACTTTAATGTACAAATGACTCGGAGATTTCATTAAGTGGTAGAATCTGGGTTAGTAGGTCTGTGTGGAGCCTGAGATATGCCTTCCTAACAAGCTTCTGGGTAATGTCGATGCTGCTACTCTACGGATAGTCCTTTAAGTAGCCAAGTCCTAAGGGCTGAAAAAAACCACAAGAATGAGAACCCTGAGTCTTTGAATCATGTGGAAGAAAGCCACCTGGAAGAGGAACATCTATACCGAATTATTAAATAAGCAAGTCCATACATGAATTATGTCACTGCAATTTTGGAGTTTATTTCTGACAGTAGCTAGTTTTACCCTAATATAAAAAACTCCCGCTATTTTGAACAAAACTTTAAATTTTTCATTCTTCTTCAAGCTTTACCTTCATCAGATTTTACATCTGCCTGATTAGAGTCTTCTACACTGGTCTCAGAAGATGGTTGTTCAAAACTTTTTTTAAGTTGTTGTAAAAAGACTTCCATGGACAAAGTAAAATGCAGCTCTTTATTGTTTAGCCAGTGTACCACAAAAGGTCCACTTTTCTCTTCATTTTCACTTAGACTCAGAGAAGTAATAGATGGAAGAAGTGGAATGTCTATAAGAAAAAAAAAAATCACAAAATTAAATTTCTCCTTCACTTTTTAATTTAACTTCATTTTGAGGTATTTTTTTTTAAGACTATTTCTTAGAGCAATTTTAGGTTTACAGCAAAACTACAGAGAAAGGTACAGAGATAGGCATATACCCTGTCCTACATATGCATTATCAACATCTGCCACCAAAGTGGTACATTTATTACAACTGATGAACCTTCACTGACATGTCACTATCACCCAGAATCCATAGTTTAGGGTTCATTCTTGGTGTTGTACATTCTATGGATTTAAACAATTTATAATGACATTGCATTAATCTTTAAACCTTGGAAACATTTTATTTAACCTATAAGTAAGATTTCCAACATAGTGTTTCCCACTATTAATGGTGCATAATTAATTTAAATGGTAAATTTAACAGACCTATTATAAAGTAGATAAAATTACATATTCTAGGTCATATGGCAGAATTTATTTAACCATACATGTTTTCTTTAATCGTAAAAAATATTTTCATGATGAAAAAGGTCTATAATTTGTAGACATGTTAATAGGAATATCTTATCACAAATTTTGTTAACAAGCAATTTTTTTTTTATAATTTTTTAGAAAATTTTTTATGTATGGGTGGGGTTTGTGAGGAAGGGGTGCTCAGTTGCCTTGTTTGTGTTGTCAAGACAGAGTCTCACTCTGTCCTTGGTAGAGTGCAGTGGCGCCTTTGTCATCACTGCAACCTCCAACTCCTGGGCTCTAAGCAATCCTTCTGCCTCAGCCTCCTCGGCAGCTGGGACTACAGGCATGTACGCACGGCTGGGATTTTTTTTTCTAATCTTTTTGTTAGAGATGGGGTCTCGATCTTGCTCAGTCTAGTCTTGCTCAAGCAATCCTCCAGCCTCAGCCTCCCAGGGTGCTAGGATTACAGGTGTGAGCCACTGCACCCAGCCAACAAGCAAATTTTAACCTTATCCACAATGAAAAATGCTATTATGATGTCAAAGGAACTAGTGATATATGTATCTCAATAGCAACAAATTTTTTTTTTACTTAAAACGCTGACATATTAACTTCTTTAATGACTTATCCATCTAATTCTAAAATGGATATTTCTTATTTATTAGCATCAAGATTGAAGTCAGAAAGTATGAAACTGAGGTTCCCTTCTCATGCTCAAAGAAAGAATTCAAGACAGATTACCTCGGCTAAAAAAGAAATTGTTCCTTGGTATCACTTTTGAAATAATTACTAAATTAAGCACCTTGAAGTACAAATCCAGTCAGTTATGACAAGTAATTCCTAATTAACAGACGTAAGGAAAAATTTAAGTATCATATTAAATCAAATATGAATCATGCTGGTGTCTGCCGAACTATAAAGGCTAGAATGAA